GCCCCGGGGGGGGGGGGGGGGGGGGGGGGTAAGGGCAGAGGGTGGGGTGAGAACCAGGTGGAGGGGAGCTATGGGGGGAAAGAAGAGGAACAACTGTAATAATCTGAACAATAAAGATTTAATTTAAAAAAAAAAGCAATGTCTCTTGCCCCTGGTTTGGGGAACTGACCCTCCCAGAACCTCAATATTTTTCCAATGGACTATTTTGGCCATGTGGCTTGCCTGGTTGCCTCGCATATATTCCCCTTGTGTCATTTTCACCATTTTCTAAAGAAAAACCATCTCGGGCCTATTCTATAGCATCCACGAAGAGATTGGGCTCAGGCCAAGAGGCCAACCAAAATCAGGTGGGGCGCGACCCCTTGAACTAGCCTTTCCCTCTACATGGGTATAGAGAGTCCCGGAAGCATCCCTAATTTGTGAGAAATGGCTCATCTATCCAAATTTCAAATGAGGGACTGGGAAATAAAAACATGGTGAAAATGAGACTTTTAAGAACACTCCCGAGAGTGTGCAACCATTTTACAGAATCACAATAAAGGTGAGAGGCAAGTTACCTAGTAATTAATGGGCTAACTTAACAGCTGTGCCTGGCTGTAATGCTGAATTCTCTAAAAGGCTAAAACTTCTACCGGGTGGTGGCAGAAGTGGCTAAGTGCTGTGAATAACTCCTATTATGCCTGATGTGAAGATCCAGAGTCACGCTCGTATGCCAGGAGTGGGAAACAGTTAGCTGGCCCCCCATTTCTTAACTCTCATCTAGAAGTTTTTCCCCAGTACCCTTACTATAAAGGCCTACACAAATGGAGACTGAGGAGTTAAGCTTAGTGGGATCTGGACTGCGGATGCAGTGGTTTTGGCTGGATACTATTTGACCTGATTGAGGTAGAAAGCAGAAGAAAAAGGCAGATGAAAGGAGCAGTGAAGGAAAGAGAGAAATGCCTGCTTTTTAGACGACAGCCAAGTTTAAGTGCTGGCAGGCATCCATCAGCCTCCAAAGTCATACAAGAGACAGAAAAGGGACAGAGGGACAGACTCTATGGCTACTCACCATTCGACATGAAGAGGGTTGACTGACTTACTGAGAAATTCCTGGCCAACGCACCATTTGAAACAGAATTTTTGGACTGGAACCTGGATTCTTTGTCCGCTGGAGTCGAAGAACAGAATGGACTCTTTCCCTCTCCCCACGTGGGAGTCTGTACTTGTTCTTCAATAAATTTCCACCTTTGCTATACTGCCCTCTGTCTGTGGATTCATTCTTCGACTCTGGCAGACAAAGAATCTGGGTTCCAGTCCAAAAATTACGTATCAGTGGAGGCCAAACCTGCAAAGCAAGTATGTGCCCTTGATCAGGAATCAAACCCATGACCCTTCAGTGCATGGGCCAACACTCTAACCACTGATCAACACTGGCAAGGTCCCCTTTTCTTTAGATGCCTCTTCCTCGTTCTTTTATTCTATAAACAGTTACACATGTCAATCAATTGTCTGGCACCAATTCATCTCCAACAGGAATCCCCAATTAAGGGTGTGGTGAAAAAGGAAACTTTTTTTTCCGTGCAGAACAGCTAAAGTGTGATATAGCACAGCTATGAAAATAGCACCACTGTGAGGCAGCCTTAGGGCCAGGCAGGCCTAGGGCCAGCCCCTCTGCAGCAGTCAGCTCCAGACTAGGGAGGGGGAGATGCAGTCTTGAGTTTCAGTGGAAAGGGAAAGATTCCTTTCAGAGCCAGAGGGGAGCTGGCTATATGGACAGAAGTCTCCACCTCTGGTCCCTAATTAGTCTGTTGTCATGCAAATTAGGACTTCAAATCCTCACAGTTTGGTCCAAAAGGCAGTCCTGATGGGTCAGAACAGAGCTGCTCTGGTTGATTGTAGCTGCCACAACTCTGATTGGATGGGAAAAGCCTCAGTCCTATTGGTTGAAATAGGATTCCAGGAACTCCCTTATAAGGGCTTGCTCAGATAGCAGGAACACAGTTCAGTGCAGGCTTCTTCCTGAAGTGCAGTTTGCAGTAAGAGACCTCTGTGTAGAAATGCCTTCTAAGCACTTTGTTTTTTAAGTTTGAGCCACCAGAAGCCCTTCTTAGTTGGCATCTTCGTTCTCAGCGATCACACACAGAAAGAACCACTCCTCAATACTAATACTTTGTCCCACTCACCTGCCAAACTGGCCACCCCTCCATCCACTGACCTTGCCAGTGGCAAAGGGGACAGGAAAGGAAAGCCCGTTACCCAGAGACCCCTCCCTCCTCCTCCACTCCTCTCCCCACAACTGTGGGCTGCCTGACTGCCTGAGGAGGGAAGGAAGCCTGCGGTTTGTGCACCAGGCCTCCCTCCCAAACCCTCCCTCCCCCAGGCAAGCTGTTTCACTTCCTCCCGAACTCCCCTCAGGCAGGAGTATCTCAGTGCCCCACAGCCTTCACCATGGCTGATACATATGCGGTGGTGCAGAAGCGCAGGGCTACTTCAGGCCCCGGGTCAGGGTCTGGGGCATGCAGCACGGAGGGAGCACCGCTCTACAGCCATGTGACGCCGGGCACCCGCTGGCCGCAGGCACCCACAGAGGAGGGGGCACAACTGGGCGGTGGTGAGTTGACAGGCCGGGGGAGGGGCTGGGGAGGGCCGGCCCCATCTCCTTCTGGGGACCCCCACAGCTGGACCCTCTGCCCCAGGCAGATCTGGCCACCGCCTGGCTGCTGTCCACTTGCTGGTCACTACCGGAAGTGTCCCAGGCCAAACCGCAGGGCCTGCACTGGGTGCGCTTCTCCGGAAGTCACCTTGTTTGAGCAGAGGTCTGGGACCTGCCCCCTCCTCCCCTCTCCCTTATTCCCACCCCCACCCTCTACGGGAGCCCATGCATGAAGACTGGTTTCCTGCCTGCAGTTCCTGCTGACCCGAGCCCTACTGGGCCTGGCACATACGAGGACGTGGCTGGTGGATCTCAGACCAGTGGTCTAGGTAAGTCAGACAAAGCCCAAGTTTCTGGGACTCTGCAGCTTTGACTGAATTCCAGAAGTTTGGTGTTTTAAGGATGGTGGCATGGGGCTCTGGGTCTCAGAGTTCTGTGGATGGGGCTGCAGTGAACCAGGAGAGCCTGAAGGCTTGAAGATGGCTTTACCTAAGTTGCTTACCTCTCCACATCTTAGCTTCTCCCTGAGACCCATGGTGCCCTTCCTTTCCCAGGTTTCAACCTGCGCATTGGGAGGCCTAAAGGGCCCCGGGACCCTCCTGCGGAGTGGACCCGGGTGTGAATGCTGCGCCCAGCCTGCCTGCTACCCCACATGGGTGCCTGGACTGCTGAAGGTTGTGCTCTGCTTTGTGAAGTGTTGGGAATGGAAACACTGGGCCTGGATCAAAATAAAATTTCTCAGAGTGGGAAATGTGGGGGTTTTGTCCCAGTAACTAAAGCATTCAAGGCTTGAGGTGGTAGCTGGGAGATAATGATTGGTGAGACTGCACTGGGTAGTTCAAGAATGAACATTAGGGATGGGTTCAACCCCAAGAGCCCCCCAGTTGTGAAGGGGAGGATGAACAGATAGGCTTCTGGAAACTGCCCCCATCACCACATAATAGACCAGTTCATCTCAGTATCTAAGCCTCCCTTCCTCAGACATTCAGCTGTTGATACAGAAAGATGGATGGACCTTGAGAAAGACTATCCCCCACTATTCAGACAGATACAAGCTAGGCATGACAACAGTCAAGTAGGCTTATTTTATTTTTTAATATATATTTTTATTGGTTTCAGAGAAGAAAGGAGAGGGAGAGAGAGACAGAAACATCAACAATGAGAGAATCATTGATCGGCTGCCTCCTGCATGCCCCCTACTGGGGATTGAGCCCGCAACCCGGGCATGTGCCCTTAACCAGAATTGAACCTGGGACCCTTCAGTCCGCAGGCCGATGCTCTATCCACTGAGCCAAACCAGCTAGGGCAAGTAGGATGATTTTAGACAGGTGAAAGATCTTCAGATGAGTAGAGAGAGAGAGATAGATCCCCAAGCTGGACAGGCAGATAGCCATACCAGTAGACTTTCAGCTGGATGGACACATAGGCATCCTCTTAGCTAGCCAGATATGCCCTCCCCCCGGTGGGCAGACAGACTCCCAGCTAGCTAGATGGATTCCCAGCCAAATAGACAACAATGACATAGACAGACCCTTCAATACACAGATACCCCAATCAGCCGGCTGGACTCACAACCAGGCAGATAGGTGGACCTCCAGACAGGTGGACAAACTCCACTAAGTCACTAACTACACAGAACCCGCATTTTGGCAGACAAATTGCTGTACCTCCTGATGAGAAGACAATCAGGTCAACTCCCAGGCAGTCAACATGAGCATCATGAGCCAGACAGAATCCTGACTACCTCCCAGCTAGGCATACATTGTAGATCAGCAGATCCTTCAAACAGACTTCCTACTAGCCAGAGGGACCTCCAGCCCCTCAGAAAAATAGGACCCCAATGACCCTTAATTGGACAGATGGACTCCCATTTCTACAGTGAGACTATCCTCAGCCAGAGAGATAAGTGGACTTCAAGCCAATTGGTTAGTTAAATTCCAAACTAGACAGTCACCTCAAACCAGATGAATGGGTGGACCCTCATCTGGACAGATGACTGATCTCTAGTAAGTCAGATCCTATTTAGAGCCCAGCCAGAGAGAAAGACCCTCCCCAACCAGACTGTTTCCTTGCTGTTCACACAGACCCCTGGCCAGATAGATCCCCAACCCTTGAGTAGATGGACACATTGTCATCTTGGCAAACAAATCGGTATCCAGCAAGACAGATCTCTAGCCTTATAGACAAATAGACTGACCCAGGCAGACATACCAGCTCCTAGCCAAACAGACTCATGAACCTCCAAGTAGACTGATTCAACTGGAAAAATGAGCTCCAGATAGACTGACTCCCAGCTTCATAAGACCCTCAGACAAACCCCTGTGTGTGTAGACATGCAGACCCCTGGCCAGAAAGACAACAGACACCCCTCCACCCACCCCACTCCTCCATCTAGACAGGTAGACACTCAGGAAGCCAGACAAATCTCTATCTGTACACATAGACAGATGAGTCACCCAGCCAGGAAACAGTTTCCCATCCAGATCTTTAAGCTGGCCAGCACTGCAGGTAAATAGAAAGACAAGAGTAAATATACTTGATGCTCTAAAATCCTGCTTCTGCTCTGTGAGATGTCCTTCCCATGTGATCTTCCCAACACTGTCTATCTGACAATGCCATGTTCATCCAGGCAGACTGCCAGCTATCTCTCCCCAACACAGTACCCTGTCCAGGTTATTGAAAAGCTGTCCTGTGTCTGTGATGAACATGGACCATTAAAGCCTTCACCTGCCACTTGCCCATACAGACCCACATAGCTAACACTAACTGTTTGGTATGTATATGGACTGAGTCAGTGATCTTCAGAACAACTTCACAATAAAGGTGACGAGAAAAATTCTAAGGTGTGCTAAATTAAATTACTGCAGGCAGGAGAGTGAGAGAAAAGACAAGAGTATTTAGCCAGCTGTGGGCTAACTAACAATAGAGTGCTCACATTCCTGAATGTACCTTGGAGCTTTGAATCAACTTCAGGGGGTTATCTGAAAAGAAGTAATGGACCACTAGACACCGCAACATACTGCTTATGCATGAACTTGCAGAACTTGTCCAGCACCAATCAAAAGTGGTAAATATTTCTTCCTTAAGGACTGTACATCTATTCTAGAACTGCCCCCCCTTCACCTTTTCCCACCTCCTTATCTGTAGCCAACGTAAATTCTTTCAAAACAAGTTACATCTTTCTTCCCTGAAACATCTATATATAAAAAGCCAGTGACTGTAATGCCATAATGGCCAGAATGACTGGTCGCTATGACGTCCACTGCGGCCAGCGAACCCACCTGATGGGGGGGCAGAGCCTGCGGCCCCTCCCCCCGGCTGGCCCTACCCCTGATCGGCCTCTCCCACCCCAATCGAGGTCAGGGCAGCTGGCCAAACCCCCCAAGGCCCTTCCTCCTTGCCCTCCTAGGCACCCCATCCCTGATTTCCCCCCACCCCAATAGGGGGCAGGGCTGCCCAGCCAACCTCCTGCAGCTCCTCCTCCCACCCGGCCCCACCCCAGATCGGCCCCCCAAACCCAATCAGGGGTGGGGCTGGCTGGCCCACCACCTACAGCCCCTCCCCACAGCTGGCCCTGCCAGCCCTCAATTGGTCACTTACCCCAATCGGGGGTGGGCCCACTGGCCAATCACCCTTGTCCCCTCCCCCCAGCTGGCCCAGCCCCAATCCACCCTGATTGGGGCTGGGCTGTCCGGACCCCACCTGTGCATGAATTTGTGCACTGGGCCTCTAGTAATATATAAAAGAGTTCATCAACTCCAGGACAGAAGACATGTTGCCTTCCCCCTCTAGCTGTGCTGCTGGTGGTTTAGACTGCATGCTCCAGAACCTGTCCTTTTGGGCTAGCATTTGGCTCAATAAACCCTTTCTTTCAGAAAAGACTTCAGGCATAAAAGGTTTTCTTTAACGGAGATAACTTTGTTATCCCCACTTTACTTAGCCCAGGAAATTATTCTGATATTTCAAAAGTTTAATATCCTAGATGCAAAAAGACAATAGACAGACTCAGTTAAGGTAAAAATTGACCTTTGTCAAGGGAGATACTGGCCTAGGACATGACTACTCCCCATGACTCACTTTTAGTTAGGAAGTTTTAATTTCAGACCATCCTATGTGGTTAGGAAATTTCAGGGGGGTTGAGAGCTGGGAGCCAGGAACTGTAGACAAAGAACAAAATACGTATTATAGATCACAACATATCACATACCTAGCAATGTAAAAGAAGTATTTGACTTTAACCCAATCTTAGAAATTTCCCCACTTTACTTTCTCCCATCTCCCTAATCTACCACCAGTAAATTTAATGTAACCTTCCTTATGCCTCCATCTTTTATTATAATGCATAAAATAAACTGCAAAACTGCCATTCTTTGGAGCATTTTATCAATCCATTGGGATTTTGCTTCCTGGCAATGGTCATCAGTTTGGCTCAAACTCATAAAATTTTTTACGGGTTTGGAAGTTTATGTCAATAATTCCCAGAACCTATAGCGGTGTCTGGCACTTAGTAAATGTTCAAGTTAATTTATCTCACACTATTTATTCATAGGCTTCCTAATCCTATCTAATAAAAGACAAACAGGGTAATTGACCATACCTTTGCTACACTTCCCATTGGCTAATCTGGGCGATATGCAAATTAACTGCCAACAAAGATGGTGGTTAATTTGCATACATAGGCACAATGATGGGAGGCAAAAGGGGAAGGACGGAAGAATGGTGATCAGAAATCCAGGCGGCAGGCAAGAGCCAGGGCCGCCTTTGCCCGCCCCCCAGCCGGTGATCGCGATTAGAAAGCCGGGCGCAGGCAAGGCAGCACCCCCGGGAACCCAGGAGCCGCTTTGCCTGTGGCCCGTGATCCTGATAGCTAAAGTCGAGGCATGCCTAAGGATTTTTTGTACATGACCCACAGTCTAGAAGCAGAGTCAGAATCAAGAAGTGGAGTCTTACCTCAGCCCTGGGGTGTTTAAAAGTATCTAAAAATAGCAGTTCCATTGTGGAGTCCACCACCATGTTTGCCCCGATGGGAGGCATGCTGAGGACTTCCAGGGCAGCCCTATAACCTCCAGGCGGCAACAGCAGCTCTGGAGAGGGAAAAACTGCAGCACTTCCTGTGTCCAAAGTGCTAGTACTGCAAATCTTGGCCTGTCTCCAGCACAGCAGAGAAAGGCTGAGAGAGGAGAGGTGGGTACGGTGGCTCCAGTGGTCCAAATCCTGTCATTGTCTGCATTACTTAGCCTCGGCGCCCTCCAGAGCAGCCTCAGTGCCAGTGCAGAGGAGGCTTTGGAAAGGGTGGTGGTGAGGAGAATGCTTCTGACTCTGGATACCCAGTGAAACTGCTGTCAGGAGCCTTTCTAGGGCTGGCAGGAAAACGCGGCAATGAGTGAAGAATAATGTCTCAAAATGAAGAGGTTTTTTTTTTTTTTAATATATTTTATTGATTTTTTACAGAGAGGAAAGGAGAGGGATAGAGAGTTAGA